GATGGAATGATAAGCAGGCAATTAGGGAGTTCCTGTAACTTAGTAGGCACCAGAGAACTCGAACACAATGCGTGGAGCGATGCATTGTGCTCCTCAGGTACACACCCAGCCAAACAGAAAGCACTGTAAATACATGGGCAGGACCCCTCTCAATATCCTATCATGTGCATCTATAAATATTGATATTGCTATCCCTTTGAAGACACCCTTGATAACCTTCCATGAATTCTCCAGAACACAGTTGGGAAGACACTACCCTGGAAGATATTCCTTGAATTGCATCCAGGCTTATACTTAAAGTAGACCCACTGGAATCAAAGGGACTTTCAATAGGCAGGATTCAGTCAAGTCCCATTGCTCTCAATGGGTTTGCTCATTGTATAACTAAAGCTGGATCAAACCTATAATCTACAGCTTCCCATTTATGTAATTGGCCAGATTTAATGTGGGCTGGAGCTTTCTCTTGGGTGTCCATTGGTCCTCTTTTTTGGAGGAAAGGTCTGTTTCAAAGGCATCCCCTGCTTGAGGGGCTGCCGATTCATGTCTCCTTTTCTTCTCATTCAGTGTGATGCACATCCTCTTTCTCACTAGTGCCCAAGTGGCCAAGAGGCTTAAGGCCCCTTTCCAAATGCTCTGCAGAAAAATTATCTTCCCCCAGTGCAGAAAAAACTGTTTGTTATTATGGGGTGGGGAGAATCTAATCCACTCCTTCCCAACCTGGTGCCCTGCAGATCGTCCAGACTATAACTCTCATTGTTCCCTTGCTGGCTGGAGGTGATGGGAGTTGTAGTCCAGCCCATTTGGAGGCCACCAGATTAAGTGAAGGGCCTGAGTACTGTTACACTCTGGGTACTGTTACTCCACACTCTGGGTACTGTTACCCATTCTCCAGCCACAAGGTGGAGGGTTTGGGGGTAAACTACATGAACACAAACTCCAGGGGGATCCTGATAGATCACTTTTGACACTAATACCGCTTTGCTGACAGATCTAGATGGGCAAAGCGGATCAAGCATATGGCCAAGGGCAGCAAGGGACAGCCAAATTAGCAGTGGCCTATTGCAATTAGCTGCCAAGGTGTGGGGGGTTATGAGGCGGTCAGAGCCTGCGTAACAGTATCAAGAAGGGAGTGCTTCCTACTGGGTAGAGAAGGTGGTGCAGGGAAGGCTGGGAATTAGAGTTCCCTGCCTCTCCAGGAAGGAGAGTTGGACTGAAATAGGTGAAATGAAGTGACTTATGTGGGCATCGTGATCCTTGCAGAATCAGAGCCAGGAGTGTCTGCTAAGAGTGAAAATTCTCACATCTTCCCACTGCCGGATCCTTTGGAGATTCAGAAAAAGTGACTTGAGTGGGAACCCAGGAGTTCCCAACCCTTGAAGTTCCCCCAGTTCAATAGTCCACCATCTGCATCCAGGGGTATTGCTGTGAGTTGGCTATATTCAGCTTTTTATATGAAGCAGAGAATATGTGAAAGAAATGAAAACCTGGTCTTCAGGGCTTGAACATGTAGATTTTTTTGACCCAAATATATGGGGAGTGGTTGTTGAAGTATTCAGAATTTGGACACCTACCAACCCTATAAAAGCAGGGCTGGCCAAGGACATTCTGCTGCCAGAGCTGAGGGAGCACAGATGTTTGCATCCTTGTAGCTGGGAGTTCCAGAGTTCTTTCCTTGTAGCTGGGAGTTCCAGAGTTCATCTTGGAGACATCAGGACTCAGCCTTCCAATTTTAGGAAGAATTTGCTGACCCAGGCACTCTTGGGTACCTTTGGAACCTCTTTTGGTACCCACTACACTCACCATCTCTTATCTTAATTTTATTTCTTGAGATTAATTTATTTTATCTAAGAGAATGGCACGCTATAATTTGAGCTCATTTAAAAATGGTTCAAAAGAGCAACTTGTGTTTTGGAGCTCACGCACCCCTGGCCTTGTATTTAAATGCTTGGGCTAGTTCGTGTTCTACTGTACTGGCCACGGCCACCAGGGCGGACACGCCGGGAGAGAACCGTGACTCTCAACATTCTAGATGGACCCACTGACAGAAAAGGTCTGGGATTCTGCTGTTGGTTTCATAGCCGCCTTCTCCTGCAAATGTCCCTCAACAGCCTCTTTTCCCCATTTCCTTCCCCTTCCACTCTTAACTTGCTCTGGCCCCAACTGCAAGGCTATGTCATCCTTCCCTTTGGCGACTTTTATAGAACTTCTTCCCTCTTTATTCTCAGATCTTGAGGTGGAGCCTTGTTCTCCAACCACCTCCTGCTGAAACACCTGCCCAGCCTGGGTACCTGCTGTGACCCCAGCACAGGGTGGTCCACAGCACCAAACCCACCAGAAGATGGGCTCCTTCCAGGCCCTCAGTCTGAGAAATCCTGCAGTAAATACACTGATTAACTGGAACAATAATAGTTGCTCTCTGGGTGTTCTGCCTTTTGTTTACAACTATCCACTTCCATGGCTTTGATGCTCTAAGCCAAACTATCCCATTCCTTTTTGTCTAGTGGTTATGTCATTTCCTTTAAACAATACAACTAAAACCAGATACTTATCCCCCCATATCAAGAGGTAAGAGTGACGTCTTGAGTCTGAGTGAATACCTACCCCTGACCCCTGGCTTACATAAACATGGCAATGTTAAGGCATATTTGATCAATGCAAAACATACCAACGTAGGAAGCACTTGATTTAAAACTCTACAAGTACACCTGTAAAACACCCTCCATATGGTTCCAATCTTAAATATCCAGGCATGTCCCTTCCTTAGTTTATTTATATCAATTTATGGCAGCTGAATACTACCTCTTAGTAATTTTTTTAAAGAGAGCCAAGCTGAGAGCCAATGGGAAAAAAAAGTTAAAATACTCTAAAAGTTATCCCCTGTCAAAAGACAAACAAAAATCAGAAATCAAAAACAGCCTAGCAATTAAAATTGGGAGTGAGGACATCTGGCGCTCCAGAGCGAAAGACCAGGAGAGCAGCATCCAAACGGCAGATGGAATAGAATTGTTTTTGCTTGCTTTTAGAAGACAAAAAAAGACTGTGCCATCACAATCTTCACAATTGGGAGAATTCGATTCTATAATCCAGAGGCCACTGCGGAAAACGCCCTGCTTCTAGGGGAAGACAACCTGATTATAGTATCTAGAGCAGGGCCTCATGGGCTTAGGACATGTAAAGGTTGGGGTGGAACAGGCCGTTGTCTGATTACAGCCAGCCACTGGCCTGCCTACCTCTTCTTGTGGAAATTTGCATCATAAAACATACACACTCATCATAAGACCAATAGAGTTTGACTTCCTTCCTCAACGGATGTTATGCAGTCTTTAAGTGACTGTGTCCATGGAAACAGCCATTTGTCCTTGGTCTCTGCCTTGATGATGAGTTTTGCATTGCATTGATGCCCTGCCTTTTTCCCTTCTTGCGAGGATCCTGGGACAGCTTACATAGCGCACAACAACCCTGTGAGGTAGGTTGGGCTAAGTTCCAAAGTCACTCAGTGAGTGTCTTGGCTGAGCAGGGACTAGAGCTGGGATCTCCAGAGTCCTTGGTCTAGCGCTCTAGCCACCACACCACACTGCCCAGCCCAACCTTTAGGCAGAGAAAGCCGCCGGAGGCAGCAGATGCTCAGAAGTGGGAAACAGCAGCAAAGTTTTGGAGGGCAGAAGTGTGTAAGCCACACACCCTGCCCTGTGCCGCCTCAGCTCCCTTGGATGCTGGGAAAGAGGTTATCCCATCACCAGTGCTAGGAGTAAGACTTAAGTGCTGATCCACTTACGTTTCTGTTCATGGAATGTGAAAGGGCACCATCTTGTCCATTACCTCAGGCAACAACATGTGGAGCCAGCCCTGGGTTCTGTGTACCCTTTTCTCTCCATCTGGTCGAAAATGAGTGTGTTCTGGGTTCAGACAGCACAATAACCCACATTCAAGGGCTGAGCATAGGTTGTTTTTATCGATGGATTTTTATCATTATGGGCTTTTGCTGTTTTTATTGATGGGTTTTTACTGAAATATAGATTACCATGTTGTCCAAACCCAGCTGCCCTAACAAGCCCATTACAAACAGCCCATGAAGAGAACCAGTGGTGTTTTGCTGGGTTGTGAACTACAGGTAGCTCATCATGGGTTGTTACCTTGGTTGGCTCCAAACAGCATCATACGGGGTTCAACAGCCCTCAGGTCTGAGATCAGAGAAGGAAACACACACACACCTTTCCCATAGCTGGTCTTGTTTTTCTCCTTCCTTTTTTAATTTCCACAGTGGTTATACTGGGAGAGTGAGGTTTGTGTTTCACAGCATGGTCCTTTGCGGGTTCATTCAGAATGAAGGCCCGTGTTGTTCACTTGGACTTGCTCCAAAGTAGAGGGTTCAAAGGACTGCAGCAGAAATCTCTTCCCCTACAATCAGTGGGGCTTAAAAGTTTTGGACTTTGGCTGGGTCATCCATGACGTACACGCCAGCCTATCACCTACTTGATGGCTTGCCGACATTAATGCTACAACTCGGCATGGTGCTTTAAAGCTTAAGAAAATAAACATTTCTGGGTTACCACAGCAATAACTGTCTGTCCATCTGTCCATCCATCCCCACCTAGGCGGTCTCATCTATATTTTCATTCTTTTCAATGCCTCCCTTTCAGTCTTGTCTCTCCAGGTTTGGAAAGCGTGCAGAACGATGGTGTTAAGGAATCGGGGGAGGGAGGGGGGAGAAAGGCCCAAATCCGATTTCCCTCACGCTAAAGAGCTTGGAGAAAATGTGATCAGCGCAACCGAAATAGCTGCTCGTTCTCGCTCCGATATGTGTGTGCCTGCACATACACTCATGGCCCCAGGTGTGGCGAGGCCCTGCGGGGCTCCCGGGACCTCCCACTCCACCCTGAGGAGTCTATATAAGAATGTTCTCCAGGCACCAGCCATTCCACTGGCCCAGCTGAAGCAGGCCAGGACGGACAAGCGAGCGCCATTGGTGAAGTGGTGTTGGGCGAGCCTCTAGCCGAACCATGGGTAACAGTAAGAGTGGGGCCCTGTCCAAGGAGATCCTGGAGGACCTGAAGCTGAACACCAAGTACACCGAGGACGAGCTGTGCAAATGGTACGAGAGCTTCCAGAAGCAGTGTCCCGACGGGCGCATCAGCCGGTCGGAGTTTGAGAAGATCTATGCCAACTTCTTCCCTAACTCCGACCCCAAGGTGTATGCCCGGCACGTCTTCCGAAGCTTCGACACCAACGACGATGGGACCCTTGACTTCCGGGAGTATATCATCGCGCTCCACCTCACCTCGACCGGCAAGGCTAACCTGAAGCTCGAGTGGGCGTTCTCCCTCTTCGACGTGGACCGCAATGGAGAGATCAGTAAGAACGAGGTTCTGGAGATCATCACGGTGAGCGAGGAGGAGGGGTGGGAGTGGGGGAGGCACAGATTTGCGGCACGGGCTTGTGGGCAGGAGCTGCCATGCAATGCGGCTTCTCCACTGCTACACCGCAAGGGTTGGAAGTGGGCTTCCCGTTACACGGAGTTCTTTCCATACAATAGTGCCATGGCAGACATTTTCCATGTTTTTGTCTGGAGATGAAGACAGGGCAGCCTCCTTGAAGTAGCTACTCCAATCCCTTTTGGTTTGTTTTTGTTCTTGTTCCCCGAGATGGACCTACCTACAGTTTCCTGAAGCCCCCTTACGGTCCTAAGCTCATGCCCCAGTATTCCATTCATCCCCTACCGATGCAAAGCTGCAAAGAGCACCCAGCCTTCTTCCAGGTCTTCCTGTCCGGGTACACGGACCCATCCATCCAGGTGGGTCTCCCACCACCTTATTCCTGGATCAGAACTAGCCATGAAAACCATTCTCTGCTCCCATGGGAGGTAGAATCACACGTCACAACTCAAGATAGCACTAATTAAAAGGAGGGAAAGGTGAAGGTAAGGAACATGTGACTATCTTCACCCACCTCGAGGTGAGGGGATGACAACGGATTACCTTGGCTGAAGGCTTTACCTTGTGTCCAAATGGAATTAGCCTTGCCCAGGGGGAGAAATCCTGTTATACTTGTTTAATGGGATGAGCTGCATTGGCAGAGCAGTAAACACTTCTCTGTCGTCTCTTAATTTTATCTCGTTGACTTCAACTATCTCAGCAGAGAGTAGATTTTCATTTTTTCAGGGAAATAGGAAGCCATTCTCTCCCTCTCTCTCCCTCTCTCACACATCCCAGGTATATTTATTATTATTATTATTATTATTATTATTATTAATTATTATTATTATTACTACTACTACTACTACTTATTACATGTCTATACTGCCTGTAGCTGAAGCTCTACAGTCCAGGATTGAATTTAAAGCTTCAGAACTGAATCCTCAAGCAAAGAATCACATGTGAAAACTTCTGTTCTATTAATCTAAACTTCTTGAAGCTTCCACAATGTCTGGTAATTGTAATTTTGTGAGTAGTTTAATTCTGGAGAAGACTCACAGGGAATTACAATTTCCATGATTCTGTGAGTGGGATCCAAAACAGTTAAACTAGCTCAAAGCTAGTTTAAATTTGGAATATAGACAGGACATCTGGCCGTTGCTGCCTCCCAAACTGGACTGTTCCTTTTCAGGGTGATTTTCATGACTGATTTTCATTAGAGCCAGTGTGGTGTAGTGGTTAAGAGCATGGGATCGGGACTCAGGCGATCTGGGTTCTAGTCCCCGCTCAGCCATGGAGCCAACTGGGTGACTTTGGGCCAGTCACAGACTCTCAGTCCAACCCACCTCACAGGGTTGTTGTTGTGGGGAGATGGAGGAGGAGAATGATGTAAGCTGCCTTGAGCCCTTTGTAGGAAAAAGGCAGGATATAAATTGAAATAATAATAATAATGACTGTGGCATGAAGCACAAAATTCTTGAGATCGGATTCTTCGGTGAACTGAAAGTTCTTGGGGTGACCCTATAAGTTTGGCCTGTGGATTTGACGTAGCCCATCCCTCCTCATTGCCACGGGCTTCCCGTCACTTCTCCCGCTTCTAGGTTCCCCTCCCAATGTGTCCACTGCAAGCCATGGAGGAAGGCTAGAGCAATCCGAGATTAAAGTTGGATTAGGCAGGGTTAAGTACCTGAACCTCTCAGTGCTGCATTCGCCTTGTTTCAACTGTGTGGTCCAGAGCATCTTCTGACCTTGGGGAAGGCAGAAGATCAGCAAAGTCTGAATAATTTCTCCCTCCCAGATAGGGAAGAGGAGGGAAGCGAAAGCTACAGAGAAAATAAGGGGCTGATTATAAGCAGGTGTAAGCAAACAGTTTTCCCTGGAAAGGTGCTCCAGAATGGCAGCATGAGCTCCTGTCCTGCGCTGCTAAGAATTTAATTAAGAAGGGCAGCCATGTTTCCCTAAACAAGTTGTAGGGAAACCCTGGGAGATGAGGGGCTTTTTGAAATGAGGCATTTCACCCACCGCTTTGGTGTAGCTTCTGCTTCAGGGGGCTTTTCTATATGAGGCATTTATTATATACTAATGTTTCCTCATTCACGGTAGTTTTCAGGGGCTGCACACAGTGGCTGCATCCTCCAGGCCCTCTCCCATGCTTTCCAAATATTTCCCCTCCTTGGTTTAGATGGAAGAAAATGTGGTATTATTTGGAAAGGGCAGGATGAACCCCAGTGAGAAGCGCTGGCATTTTTGCAGTTATGTTATCCTGCAGCGCCACCTTGGGCTTGGTAATGCAACATATGGAACAGCAGAGAAAGAAAAATACAGAAGGAACAAAATACGTGGAAAGGAGCCAATCTTAATCTGGCAAACAGCCTCAGCAAAGTCATGAGCTAGGAAGAGCACATGAGCTAAGGCAACACTGTAACCTTAGAAAGCTCAGCAAATATAACTTTTTCCCCTTCAAATCTTGGCTGGCAAATTTATGGGGAGGCAGCTCTCCAACGCCCCCCCCCCCCCCGCATCACCAGCAAAAGGCAAGCAGAACACAACTGCTACCCCACACTTCAGGCCTAGGGCTCTAGGGAAAGACTTATTCAAATGCCTCTGTATTTTAAAAATATTTTTATTTTATTTTATTTGCTTAACGTTTAGGTAATTGTGCTTTTTTTGCTTCCTGGTTAACTTTGCACTGAGATTCCTTCGCCCTGAAGGGAATGGTCCTAATATTTTGTAATTGAAATGATCGGCAATTACAGGCAAAGTGGAGGGGGGGCATGCATCAGGGCCTGCCTCATGTTTTTCCCCCACAACTTCCGCTTGTACCCCGCTCCCATCAGCACTGCAATCCCCTTGGCAGGCGTCCCTCGGCCCGCTTATTCCTGTTTGTTTCTGCTTGCTGTACCAAAAGGTAGCAGGGGCCCTTGGGCAGGAAGTTTCCAGTTAAATTTGTATATGTTGGGATGGCTCTGGATCAACACAAATCATAACACTCAAACGAGCAAATCACAGGATCTGTGATTTGTCATTTGTGCGAAATATACTCTCATCCACCAGGGTTTAATTTTGTTATGAGAAAAGAATGGGAAGTTTTGTCCATAAATCAGTTTGGACAAAGCCGTTCCCTACCTGCATTTTGCTACAGTAACCAGAAAAAAGACCCTCTGCTTTGGCTTGTACATGGTGATACTTTTTATTATTCATTTATTTATTAGATTTATACCCCCCGCCCCCATTAGCTAGAAAGTCTTTCTGAGCTCCTTTGATCTAAGGCACCCCAGATATCTATTAAATCCCATTTATTTCAATGAGTGTCATCAAAGTATGACTCAGACTGGGTCCATACCTCTCTTCCCAGGTGAAGTTCTGTGTCTATCACCTCTTGGCTCATTCTTCACACCCAAAAAGACCTTTACACCATCATCTGATCCAATTTATAGCTTTATAGATGCTTCACAGACCTGAATGCTTAGAATTATGGGGTAGGACGCTTGCCATATTTCAAGAAAACAGTTTACCCTTCCTAAAAGGCCTTTTGAGTGCTGAGTGCTGTGATAAGTGATCTCACCATGCAAGGGAAACTGGTGCCAACGTCACTGTGTCACAGCCTTTGCACATAAAAGCAAGTTCGGGAAACATCCTCTGCATTTTGGCCACTTGCTGCCCTTTCCTAGGCTCTGGATGACCTATTTACATGGTCATATTTCTGAGTCCATGCACCTCAATTTTTCCACCGCCCTATGAGAAAAAGCCAGATATACAGAAGCCAGAGTTACAGCTTTAGAAGAAGGATGAGAGTTAATGTAGAAAATATGTTTCAGTTTGGGTCACACACCTTCTTAATGGTATGGTTTGGGTTTTTTCCTTTTGTATTGTACAATAAAATTTTTAAAAACGTGGACTAGAGTTGATATTGCAGGTTGAACCGAGATGCTTATTATTTATTTATTATTATTTATTATTTGCATTTATATGCCACCCTAATAGCCCAGAGGGCTCTCTGGGTGGTTTACAACATTAAAACCTACTGATCCTAAACAAACAAACAAATTGGCTATACCACGACTGTATAAAATAATATAGTTGAAATAAATCAATAAAATAAATAAATAAACCATTAGAATTAATTAACTTTAAAATATTGGTTAAATAAAAAGTTCTTGAAAATAAGCTATAGTATAAATATGCATTATATACATATAAGATATAAACTATAAATAAGGCACAAGGGAAGAGGAAAACCTGCTTAATGAAAAGGCCTCCCTCACAAGAGGTCCAAAGCCAGGTCGGGCTGTTTGGGCAGGATGGGGGAGCAGTGGGGGAACTGTCCCGTATTTGATGAAAAGGGCATTTTCCATCATAAAATGCTTCCCACTTCCCTCGGGCTTTGCCATCCTCACGGCACCACGAGTCCTGAACACACTCCCAACCCGTGAGTATTTGCTTGGTCCACCTGAGGAGGGGCTTCGCCCCCGGAAAGCTTATGGCAGGATAGTTGTAGCTTTTGAAGGGTCTGGGGGCATTTCCTCTCCCCACTGCTGCCGCCTCCTCCTGTGGGGAAACTGCTTAAGCAAGGCCCTGTCCTTAGACCTTTATAGTCCAGTATATATAGAGGCGACAACAGTGGCCAGCATCTCTGGCTGTTGCAAAGCAGAGTGAAGTAAGAGAATTGAAATAAAAATATTAAGTTCTTGGAAGAGGTCCCCTTGAGAGGTGGGGCGGTTGCATTATCCCAAAACTGAAGGAGGACTATGAGATTATTTTGTACCATCTGTTCCAAGCTCTTCAGCTGAAGTGGACCCTCTCCATGAAATCATCTGCCATAATTTCCTTGCTGCTAAAATGCCACCGCCACCTCCTGCTCCCACGGAGGGAGTGAAGCAGCAAGGAAGGGGAAACACAGAGACAGGCAGCAAACTGGCTGCAGAGGAGGCTTCTGCGGCAAATCTCCTCACGCTAGGGCCCACCAGATGTGCTGGGCAACAGATCCCATCAATCCCACCAACACGGGCATTGGCCATGTGAGCTAGGGATGATGGAACATGTAGCCAACACATCTGGAGGGCGCTAAGTTGTGGAAGGCTCTTGTAAATGTTGTGTCCCACGGTTTTACAGATGAGACCAGTTGGTATTTTTTAAGAGAAGTTTTTTATTATTACCTGCGCAGGGACCAGCACTATCACACAAAGATGGGATTAGTGCCGCGCCCCTTAGAGGGAAAGTGGAGTTTTTATACCATGTCACAAACAAATGGAAAATTATTATTGGCATCCTCAGCGAGCTTAGCATGATGCAGAAGCGAGACGGTTTTGCGGTTAGTCTATATTTTGATACAAAAGCGGAGCGGTTTGCAGTTGGCCTATCCTTTCAAGTTTTACGCCTTTTGATAAACTTTGCCCATTTTCTGAAGTAACACTCTGTATATGCCTGGGGCAACTGATAAACCTCCTATTAGGCTATTTTAATACACAAAGCCTCCTATTATGCTAACTTGTGCCAGGTGGGTCGAGCCTAACAGTAAGTAATGATGGCCATGCCAGCTATGGGGAGGCAGAAGCTGAAAGGCAATTAAGCGTATGCATGCATAGAGAGGAAAGCATCCTATACTGGCTGGGATGTGTGGGACTTTGGTCTGGCTAACCATGCATAGGACTGCACTTTAAATTAAAATGTCAGACCCCTGAAAACAGCACGGCCTGGGACAGCCTGTTTCTGGCTTCTGAGCCTACCCTGGACACAGCTAAAACAACTGGAAGTGGTTTCTTGCTGTAGCAGGACGAGAAGCTTGTTCTTATTAAATAAGGGGATATAGATGACATCCTCATGTGTGTCTGATTCCATGGTAGGTTGCTTGTTTACTAATACCCTTCGTTTCTATCCAGCAAGGAGCTGAAGGGAACTCACAATTAAACATTAATTCTATATCCCATTTAATATTTTCAGGTAGAAAATGATTTATACTCCCTGTGTTTGTTTGCACAACAACCTTTTGAAGTATGTCATTAATAGTCCTGTTTTACATATGGAAAATGAGTCAGTGTACAGTCAAGTGTCCAAGCTAAACATTGAATTAAGAACTGCAGGGATGCTGGTATCTTAGGTTTAAGCTCAGCCTCCTATCCATTGTACTGTGTCTGATGTGTTGTAGTTTCTCAACACAGAAGCTGCATATCTATGAAGATTCCCCACTGGATTTTGCTCTTAGCCAATCACAAAGCCCAAATTTAAAAATCATTGGGAGGGCTACATTTTTATTTTTTACAGCTCAGGCATACCCATTTAGTTTGCATCAACATGGAAAAGCTGCACAATTTGGCTGTTTCTGGACTTGCAGGGGAAATTATCAGTATATCTCCAGTTTGCTACTTCAGCAACCATAAGGACTAGAAACTTGGTTTAAAAAGTGAGATTAAAGTAAGATTCTCAGAACTCTCCAGATGAGTGCATATCCCACATTAGAAACCCTTTTATAACATGAAGGAGAATGTCTTGATTCTGTATGTCTTTGTCTATGCCAACTGGTGTCCTCTTTTGGCCATTTTTTGGGTGACGCATTTTTTTAAAAAAAGCAAGGAAATTTCCCCTCCCCATCTCCACCCTGGGAAAAGCTGTAATTTCTGGTTCTCTGGTAGGAATGCCAGCTCTTCCTTTTTTAGCCCCATTCCTGGGCTCCAAACCTGACATCACAATCCCCAACTTGGACTTAGGGCCATTTGCCGCTGTGCATTTAAGAGCCTTCGATTTGTTTGTTTGTTTGTTTGTTTGGGGAACTTCTATGCCGCCCCATTCACCGAAGTCTCGGGGCAGCTCACAAACATAAAGAAATAACATCATATAAAACAATATAATTTAACAGTATAACAGTTTTACCTGTTGTGCTGCCGCTAAAGGCACAGGGTGGCAAATTTGTGCACTGCTACAAGGACCTGAAGTCTTGCACTCACACCTGTGACACCAAGGAAGGAGCCCCTTCCTGCTTACATCACAGTCTGCACATGACCATGGATCCCATACGCTGCTCAGCCAGAAACACCAAGGTCTAGCAACTCTCAGAAAAGTTAGAAGCAGCAGCGCCTGCCCAGCAAATGGATGACCCCAACTTGCTGTGGACTGGACAGCCCTTCCCAGAGCGGTCGGCCCCTGCAGCTCTCCAGACAGAGGGCTGCCCCCTGTAAAGCTGGGCACCTGGCCGCCCCAGCTGAGCACCAGAAACTGGCCGTTCGAACTCTGGCGAGGGCCGGCCTCTCCTAGTCCACCAGGTCCTGCCAGCAGGAGCACGTGGCGTTCGGAGCAAAGCAAGGACCTGGGGATGAAACGGGTCTCAGCGGAGGGAGACGCAAGAGGGTGGCTTTCCTGGAAGCAGAGGAGCTAAAAGGAAAGCAGCTGTGGCTGCTCTGGTGGCCACGATCCCTGCTCTTCCTCTGTCCTGTGCTGCAGTTCCTGTCCACAGAGGCAAGGCTCACAGCAGGGATAAGGACCCTTCTTCCAGATGTCGCTGGACCACAGCACCCATCTCCCCTGTCCCCTTGTCATGCTGGCTGGGACTGCTGGGAGTTGGAGCCCAGCCTCATCTGGGCGCGACCGGTTCCTCTCTCCTGCTAGAAACGGCACTGCCTCACGGAGCTCTTTGTCCAGACGGCTGAACGGCAGGACTTGACATTCAGTGGGGAGGTCCTGGGCCAGCTGCCTACACAGAAACATAAAAACAGTGAGTCGGAAGTGGTCTCCCAGGCCATCTAGTCTGCCCACCCGGGCTCCAGCCACGGCCTGTGCAGGAACCGTGTGAAAAGGGAAGGGGCACACCATGGATGCTGTACTCAGAAGGCCCTGGGAGGAAAGGTGGGCTAGAAATGCAGTAAATGACATTTGTCCAGCTAAATCCCTCTCTTTTTGCAAGCCTCCCAACTTCTAATAGTGATCCATTGTAATTTGCCTGCAGTTTCCACTGTGCTCGGTATATTACCATCTATTTTCGTCTTTGTACTTACACATTCATGCATCCCACCCAGCAGCAGAAATTCTTGAGGGGCTGAAGCAACGCCTCAGTGAGAACAATCTTTTGAATGTTTTTAGCTTAAGGGGATGGGGGAGAAAGGCAAGCAATTTGCAGGGGACAGAGTGACGTGTATAGAAATTGGAAAGGAAAAGTGGACAGTATCCTAGAAACCCAAATGCATCATTCACTGGTAGGAAAATCAGAAGAAATAAAGAATTCTAACTCATCATAGAGTTAGAATTCGTTGCAACAGGATGGAGGGATGGACCACTAGCTTTAAAACAGGCTTAGACTAATTTGGGGAGGCAATCAATGGCTAGTCCTCATGATGAGGGGTGTATATTATTTGCACCCATATCGCTCAGTACCAGTTGCCAGGGGAAGGTGTTATTGTACTCATACTTTGCTTGTACAAAATACTCATATTTTGCTTATACAACACTGTGAATGCTGAACTTGATGGGTGTTACCATCTGGATGGACACCTGTACTTGTCTTATCTCTCTCTGACTTACTTCTTCTACCTACCTGCCATTTTAGGAGCATTTCAACACTTCTACCTGCCTTAAACTTCCTCCTGATACTAGTATTTACAAAGCAGCTACACCGAGTTTATCTTCACATCCTCTTGCCAGGAGGGCTGTGTGTTTTTAAGGAGAACCTCAGCCAAGGGCTGTCTGGGAAGCACATGAGATGGGATGAGTCAGAAAAGAGGAGTGAAGGTCTTGGGTTCTCTGGTTTGGGGGTGAAAGACAACCCCCTGGGGAAGCAGGAAGACAAATGCCCCAGTAGCTCTATGTTCTGGAATCTACTGGTTTAAGTGTGTTATGTCACTCACTGTTCTAAACAGCTGTTACAATTTTCCCCACAGGCAATATTCAAGATGATCCCTCCAGAAGAGCAAAAGACCTTGGCAGATGATGAAAACACCCCCCAGAAACGGGCTGACAAGCTGTGGGCATTTTTCAACAAGGGAGATACAGGTAACACACTGCTCTTCTCTCCACCCTTGTCTTTCCTCATGTGGCCAAGTCGCTAATGCTCTTTTCACTTTGCCACAAAACAGGGATAGGGTTTGGTCCCCGTATCCACACAACAGGTTAAAACTAGTCACAGTGTTACCTGATGAAATAGGCGTTGTACCTCCTTCATCTTTTCCTCAGCAGATTTTTTTCAACAGAAAAGAGACAAAAGAAGTAGGTGGAAAATACCAGGTGGTGGAGGTCCATCTTGACTTCTGTGTTTGAGGCAGGGCAGTTGCAAAAGAAAATCTCATCTGGACCCCCTCCACATGGGGAGAAAGCACAGAGAGCAAGTCCTCACTGATAGGTGTTCCAGAAGAGGGACAATTGCTGTTTAAGTGGTCTGTCTTGGTGCTGATTTGGCATTCACTGTAGGCTTCCAATCATTGCAAACTGATTATAGGCTTCACTTCTACAATGGCTGATAAGCAAATGCTCATGTCTGATTGATACAGACGTTTTTACTTTATACAGTTTATGCTTTGTTTGATCCACTATTTGGGGGATTCTCTTTTTCTAGTTTACTCTGTGATGAAAACAAATCTACCTGTTCATCTATCAGGGTCAGTAAGAGTTGGAAGGGGCCACGAAGGCCACTGGGTCCAGCCCCCTGCTGGTGCAGGACACCAGGTTTCCTCATCCACTTGGATGACTGTCCAGACATTTTCTGAATGTCTTTAATGTAATTGTAGGCTTACAATGTCTCTAGGCCAATATGGTCCTGTTGCCATATTGTTCGAACAGTTAGGGAATTTTTTCTGTTGTCTAGCCTGAATCTGGTTTCTTGCAGCTTGAGTTCATTGGTCCGTGCCTTACACTCTGGGATGAGTGAGAGGAGATCCTGCCCTTCCTCTTTGTGCCAGTCTTTTAGGAACTTGTAGAGCGCCATCCTATCCCCACTCAGTCATAAGGCTAAACAGGCCCAGTTCTCTCTGTCTGTCCTCATAGGGCTTTGTTTCCAGACCTTGGATCCTAAACGGTTCCAAGACTCTTAAAACTTGGGGTGGGGGGTAGGGGTGGAAGTATTCTCCTGATGAAACTAAGCTTTGGCTTATAACACACTTTTTAGGGTAACTTCCTTCCCCCACTCCAAGTCAAATTAAGCTTCCACCAAAAGTCAGCTCAAGTGGAATAGCTCTGTATTATGTTAGCTTTGTGAACAGTCAAATTTATTCCTGCGTCCTCAAAACGAGTCCCTCCCCACACATTCCATGCAAGGTTAGCCATTAAAAAGCTGCATGTTGGCTTTAAGTTGTACAAGAGGCATGAAATCCGTGCTTAATGCAGGTCTGACGAGCGTTTTCACAACATCTTCATCCTCCAAGGCCTCTCCCACATGTGCTTTCCCACATGTTCAGAGCCATGGATTTATTCCCCATTTACAGTGCAATCTTACTAGGATGCCCATAATCCCCAAACTCAGACACTTATAAAGAAGGAGCAAGAGAAACAGAAAGGCCAGAATAGCTTTTGGATATTTTGCAGGGTTGTCTTTATTTCCGCTTCCCAAGCCTTGGAGAAACCTTGGCACGGTTCTTTCTGCACTGGCTCCGACCTCAGAGCTGGGAAGCCATAAAATCCTATGGTCCCCAGATGTTCTCTACGGACCATCAGATCACTCCTTCCATTCTTTTAATTAAATCAATTAACATTCCCCTGATCTCAGAAGGCAGAGAACTTAAGTAGCCACTGGATGGCCACCTGTTAAAAGATGCTGTCGCTCCCAATTTCATGCATTGGGATAAGGATGGAAAATGCGATATTTGCTGTTCTTTGGAACACTCTAACTAAATATTCTTTTGAGTGACAGCTGGTGGGACACGGGGACGAAGAGCTTGAGCAAGGAATCCAGGCGAGGCTTTTAATGTGCAGCCCCCCTGCTTCATTCACAGAAAGTTACAGGGAATCCTGCTTCTTCTGTCTCGTTTCTTTTCACAAAAATAAATACATAAACAAAATTTATCATCAGCAATGTGGTAACAGTAAACCTGAAATACACTACAAGACTGTGAGGAGGATACAGTACAAGGATATATGCATGGAGTGGTGTAAACACAGCTGAGCGCTAGATGTACCTGCTCAGAAGGCAGTCCTAGTGACTTCAATGGGCTTTCTTGACAGGCATGTGGGGACAACTACAAAGCATTCTTGCAACAACTTTTATGGGCTGACATTGCATGGTCATCCAGAAAGACAGATGGGCCTTAATTTAGCCAGGCTTGGGACTGCTGCTAAATTGTTCTCCCTTCTTCTCTAAGAATCAAATGCCCTAGCTTGGCTGAGTTCTACCACTCCATCTCCAATTACCTCTCATTCTTGGGATTCCATTACACTACCTAGTGCTAATTCTTTCTCTGTGTGTTTTTGTTTTAATTTTAATTTTGCAGATAAAATTGCTGAAAAGGAGTTTATCGATGGGGTGATGAAGAATGATGCAATCATGAAGCTCATTCAATATGAGCCCAAGAAAAAATAGGACCTTTGGCGTTGATGGACAGGAGAAGCAAAAACACAGAGCTGCACAAGTGTGTCTGTGTGTGTGTGTGTTGTGTGTGTGCGCGTGCTGGAAAGGTAAGAGGATGGTGTAACAGCCCTTATTCTTAGGAGAGGAGATGTGACTGGGGGTGTGTGTGTGAGAGAGAACAAGTGCATTTGTCTGCATGTAAGAAAGGAAAAATATAAAAAAAGAAAAAAAAGTACAATTATAAAACAGCTTTGTTAGCAGTAGCCACCTGTCTGTTTCTATCCTTTGACTTTTCAGGGTTTTTGAATGGCAATACAAAACGTAGGCTTGGCAACCATAAAATAATCATCTGAGCTGGCATTAAGCAAAAGAGAATGGAGAGGAGTTAAAAGGAAAGGATTGGAGGGGGAAGAACAGGGAGAAATAAGGGAAAGACATTTGGGAAAATTAAGACGTTTAGAGTCAGTGGGCTTTGCATTGAAATCACTGCTTAGCCATGAAGCTTGCTGGATGTTTGGGCCAGTCAAAATAGACATTACAAAGAAAAAATCATGGAGGATACCTGTACAGGCCACCATAAACTCCTTGGAAAGAGGAGAGATACAAATAGAGTTTTTAAAAAATCTTCAAGAGAGACCTCGTGACGCCAGAAATAACCTCAGCAGACCTGCTCACCTATAATGATCTGTGTGTGTGCATGTGTGTGTGTGTACCCCATTATATTATGTGTGTACTTACATATATGCAACAGAAGATTCCAAGCCTTTCCTACTGCAATAAATGCAAAGGGCCCTACAGAGGGGTCCTGGGTCACCTCACATGGTCACCTCTTTCCCACCACCCATCCTTTCATGTCATTTCCATCCGAGCAAACGGCAGCCTTCCCTAACTTGGCACCTTCATTCGGACTACCACCTCTCACAATCCCCTGCTGGGTGGGGTGATGAGAATTGCAATTACAACCTGTCCAGAGGATGCCACTTTGGGGGAAGGTAGAATCAGCGTAAACTTCCACCAGGGGATCCTGAACTTCTGGCCAGACTAGAATGACACCCCAAGGATGTTTACTCTGAAGTAAGTGCCACTCCTCTCTATGGGACTTGCTTCCTGGCAAAAGGCCTAGGATTGCAACTGGATACATTTCTCTACATCAGCACCACTCACCTTGCATTTTCAGGGAAGGCTTAGCCCATTTACTGGTGTGTAACATCATTCTTCGGCTGTTGCACCTTTCTGCTCAGGCCCAGTTCTTCCCCCATTCTTAACCCCAGCTTTGCTGAGGGTGCTTAACATGCCCTGAGAACGCCCCTTCCCCTTGTGGGAGCACCATCGGGCACCACCCTTCCTAGATGTGACATTTACGTCATGTGGCTTCTGTCATTCTAGAATGCTTGTTTCTTTAAAATGAAGGGAGGTTTCTGTCTAGGGAGCAGGAGGCATGTGCAAATTGTGTACTACATCTATTTTTCAATAAAGGGCATTGTGTGTAACAGACTTTGCACCATGGAGCTTATCCAAATATGTCTCTAGGCTGTGGATATTGAGGGGGATGTGGTACCTTTGGCTATGAGCACCGGTTGGGGAGGAAAGATCCCAGCATGCAGGAGAAATATATGCACAAACAGAACTCCACTGCTCCAGACCCCAACAGCCAGTTCAAGAATTTAAGAGATACCACAAAAGTTAATGCTTGAAGCCATTCCTCAGAACAAAATATACTTTTTGAGTAGGGGAACCCCCACCTTTAAACACTGCAAGTCAGTTGAGGTTGCTTATTTCTCTAGCTCCCTTCTCTCACTTTTGCAGAACCCAGCCATCCTGACACTCATCTTTTTACTTCTTTTCATTTTATTTCTGGAGTCCCTTCCATTGCCAAGTGTAGGGAAATTGCCAAGTGCATACATCTTTAACAGCATCTCCCTAAGACAGAAATTGGTAGGGGAATCTTTTGCCAGTAGAGAGGCACTGGGAGAAGTTTCACCTGCTTCTTTCTCATCAGCCTGGAGTTTTTCTTGATTCTTTTACAAATGCCCATTTCTATAAGAAAAAATGCCATTTCAATTCTCCCTTTGCAGCTCTCATGGCGTGAAGAGTTGCAGGCGCTCCACATTCCGAGATTGCTTTCCTTGTCGAATGTGTTTAATCCACCACTTAAAGGCAAGGCTGGGGAACGAAGTCCTCCAGCTGTTGCTGGATTGCAACTCCCATCAGCCCTCACTATTGACTATGCTGAGAGGAGTCAGAGTTGGCCAACAACCGGAGAATCGCATGTTCCTCACCTTTCATTAAGGGCACAGAGATTCTGCCTATAAAGATGGCAGTTTTGGCCTGGGAAGCATAGTAGTCCAATCAATATAACTCAGTTTAGGGCCCTGCAAATCTTTTCTTTGGCATATGAATGCCCCTAGGAAGATGGGGCAGGGGAACAGAAGGCGGGGTTATATAATCGGTCTCGTTCCCTCTTGCTCTATGGAGTTTTATGCAAAAGCCAGTTAGTGCTGATCCTCACTAATCCCTATGTGGAAAGGATGCTGTAAATATGGTTTTAAGGAGCTTGCGATAATCAGCTAGGACGGTAGAACAAGGTTGACGGCAGGCAGGTGTTTCCAGATCTCTACTTTCGCTTCACAAGCACTCCAACCTGTTCCCATATCTGGTAAATCTTGTAAAATGAACCAAATAGTAGCAGAGACATCACCAAAGAGGATAAAGGATTCTCACGCTTAAAAAAAAACCAAACACCAAAAATACAAAATTCGTAACATGCAGAGAAAGTCTCCTTCGCTGCGGCGTTTGAATATGGTAGGAAAGCGCCACCTAATGGAGAGAGTGCAAAATTACAGCAACCAGCATTGTCTCTCGGGAGGGCTATGCAGTTCTTAACCATGATAGCCAAGCTGCAAAATTGAGCAGTAACTCACACCCATTTATTCAAAAATCCTATTCTCCTTATCCAACCTATATGTGAACTTTGAGGGGTTACTCAGAATTTTGGGCATCATGAGAAGGCAAAACTCACTGGAGAAGAAACATAATGTAAAAGGAAGCGGAAGGGAGGAGGAAAACCAAACTTAAGAGGGATAGATTCCATAAAGGAAGTCCACAGCTTTGAGCTTACAAGAGCAGAGCAGGGCTGTCAAGGACATGTTGGAGGGCATCCATTCGTACATTGGAGACAGCTTGACAGCACACAACAAAAACTCACTGGTAAAAGGCACACTCTGCACATGCACAGTTGCTCGGACCACCTGCCTCTGGAAAAAAAAGTGAACTTTGGCTCAGTTCGACTTGAAGCAGAATAGAAGAGGAAATCATGGTGCATGTTCTCACTGTCTCTGGGAGGGAAGAAATTTCACCAGGAAGATAGAAACAGTAAGGTTTGTTGTCCTCATCTCCCAGGAAGAGAAATTAAGGGAAACTGGGGAGGGTGCAAATGGAAGGAGCAGGCAAGAGCTAGAACAAACTTTGGGGTTCTTTGTTATGGCATGCAAATCCCGTTGGATAATGGAGGGGTGGGAGTTGCCAGATTTGAAGCAGAACATTTACAGCAGCAGTTGGCAACCTCCAGCAGAAGGAAAGTGTTAGAAAGTGACAGAAAAGGGGCGGGGGGGGGGTGTGCCTGGCCCTGCCTGGCTTTGGCCCTATCAGCCCAGCAGAATACCCTGAGCAGAAGGCTGCCTTGGACAGAAAAACATTCCTAACCCAATTTACATCTTGCCCAGCATGGTTGCTTCTCCATTCCTTCTCCAGGCAGCGTCCAACATGCGCTCAGCTCCTATGCTTGCAGACGGGGCGCACCTGGAGCACCAGCCAGCTACAGGAGGGTGCATGACAGGAGCAGAGGGACCAGGCAGAGAAGCTTCAGATGTTTTATCTCCTGCCACATCAGAGCATTTTTTTAAAAATGTGCAAATATCCCTGGCTTTGAGACAGGTGTGGGCCCATTGTGAAGGGTCGGATTTGATAGAGACAAATCACCTTCAGATCCCACCTGAATTCCCTTGCTCAACTATCGAAGGCTCAACGTATCTTGCTGTCTGTAGACCAGCTCCCGGCCTGTAAAAAAAAATGTTCAATACATTTTTTTTCCTGTCACTAATCCCTTGGTGCTAAGCTAATACCTTTATCCAGGGATTGCTAGCCATTTTTGAGCTGATGGACACATCTGAATTTTGGAAATGCCATGGATATTCACCAGATGGTAGCTGCAGGGAGCTTCTGCAGTCATTCAATAGCTGTCGTGGTGGGCATGACTACAAAGAGAATACTAATTTCTCAGAAACAAGCTGGTGAGATTAAAAGTAACTTCCCCAAGACCCAGAGTACAAGGCAGAAGTGGGGCCACAGCTCTAAAGTGCAAAAACACCTTTCTGAAAGCCAACACACACGGTGCTGAAGGGTAGCCCTTTGATCTGCAGCCTGCCAAGCTTCCCAATAAATGTGTCATAAATATTTCAAATGGTTAAACAAATAGGAATCCGAAGGAGCAGAGAGCCTGGTGCCCACAGGACTCTGCAGATCCCAGCCAGCCGGACCCATGCGAGGCACTGCACATAAAGCCAATGTGTTGCGAAGCAACATGCCCGAGTGTGGTAAGAAAGCGGGGGCGGGGGGGGGGGCAGCCTGACGGACAATCCATGAGGAAGGATCAGGCCACTTCTATGCTTGTATGGATTTCAAGGGGCCTGTGCCTCTAGGGTACCAGCCATGCTCTGCAGAACTGCTTCTTACCATCACAAGGGATTCAGTTAAAAACCCACTCATCATGAGTAAGAAAAAGATGAGAATGAAGTGCTCTGTTGCTTTCTGCCCATGGCCCCTAGGCTTGAGAGGACTGGGACAAGCAGGACACAATCAGACTCAAATCAGGGCCTGGTAACTTTCCAGTTGTCACACCAAGTTAGGACACATGGAAGAGAAAGGGTTTTCTTGGTAGCCGGGTAAATATAGAATGCCTTTCCTTTGAAATCTGCTGGGTTCCCTTCAGGGCTGGCCTTCTGACTTTCGCCAGTGGTCATGAAAATTCACTTTTTAAACTGCAGCTTTTAAAGGTTTTATAGCTCTGCTCTGAAATGACATGAGTTTTGTACAATGCTGGTGGTATTTTTAGATCGCTGAACTGTAAGTGAATCACAATTTGATCTGTTTTTAATTTGTACCATATGATTTTTTCCAGAAAAGCAACAAATCTAAGAATATTTAACATTTATATTCTGCTTTTCAGGCAAAACTTTACATAAAAATAGAAAAAAATATTCATAAACAGGAAATGTAATAAAATGGGAAAGGTAAGCTACTGGGGGAAAGGTGGAATTCTTTAAAAGTCCCATCTCTCTTTCCTTCAGTTTCTCAGGTAAGAGGATGGAAAGGCAGTTTTGGTCTTGGCTGTGATTGCAAAAAAGAACTCACCACCACAACATTGTCCGTGATACCTGCATGGAGATGAAAGAAACTCGGGTTCCCTTGTCAGCTGAAGAGCCCCTTGGCTGCACGTAATCTAACAGTCAGAGGCCAAGTCAAACTCTTGTGGGCTGCATCACACAGCCTGCATACTGTGTCCACGCCAAACCACAGGGCTCGATCCCAGCCTGCCTCTAAATGTTCATGACACAGAAATACACTCAAACATGAGTGCAGGTGGAGCAAGTTCACACATTACATACATTGTTTAAATCCCACAGCCTTACTGCTGCAAATCATTTCACAGTCCGCTGCCTTTTGCAGGTTTCCACCTGCCGCCCTTCCCCCCACCCCCATTCAAAAGGGTGAAACATCAATACGATTTAGATAATGAAAAGTAAGAAATTCAAGTTAAAATATACTGGCATTTTTAAATATTTGGGTCCCACTACTAGACAAGAGCTTCTGCAATGTTGAATTTGGCTTCCAGGCAGAAAAAGTTCAATATCCCAGGTTTAAAAAACTAGTGGTTAACCAGCTGTGCTCCTCATCCCTCAACTTCCCTTGTCTCTATACACCTCTTATACTAGGAGGTGACACACATGATCATTTGCCTGACCTACTGCAGGGGTGACAAATGCAAATGTCTTATATCTGGATGCAGGGTGAGGACACAACTTCTGCTGAACTTAAAATTGCCCTGCTAGAGCAGATCAAAGGTCCCAAAAACAGTCAAGCAGGTGTTCCCAAACAAGTCGAAAGAGGAACATGAAGGTAATTCCTACCTGTCCTCCAGCACACATTCTTGCCCCACTATTGGTGAACAGGTACCCTGCCTCTAAATCATGGGAGGTTCCATTTAGTTTTCATGGTGAAGACATGTAGGTAGATCAATGTCCCCTAACACCTTTAAAAAAACCAACCAAGAGCTGGTGGACATTAACACATCAAGGCAATTGACTTCCTTAAGTAGATATTAGGGAAAGAACATTTTCTTTGTCCTGAATGAAAAAATTTTAGAGGAATCCTGAATTCTAAGAGGAGCATTTCTTTTCACCAATTCCACAGTTCACATATGTCCAAAAAGGAATTTGAGAGGGTTTGAGCATCTTGCCTCTCCCAACAAATCAAAAAAGCAGCAACCTCTTCCAATTCTTCTTCAAAAGAGAAGATACTGTCCCCCATCCCCACCATTATCTTTATTTTGAATCTTCTCTGGCTCCAACAACATGCTTTCTAAAAAATGGGAACATGGTATTCTCAAGATGGACCCCCACCCCAGGTTGACAGGATGGTAGCAACTATACAATGAGAACCTTCTTAGAAAAAAAGGCATTTAATAGATTTTTCTGCTTTTATAATTTAAATAACTTAAAGACTGAAAAGAAGAAAAATCTGAAAAGGGCGAGACAAAAGTTGGACTGTAGTCTCAAAGGGAAGGTGGGAGAAGAAAAAGAGGAGAAATTGAAAATGTACTGTGGAACCCCACTGCCCATCACCCCACCCTGTGTGACAGACCCCACCTCGCCCACCCCATCCCCTAAAGCCGCCGGAGAGCTCGCTTCTTGTCGGTCTTCTTCTTGGAGGCCAGTTTCTTGTCCCTGTCGCCTGCGTGTTTCTTGGCCATGGGGCCCTCTCCAGAGGCGCTGGCGGAAGAGGAGCAAGGCTCGGCGGGGTCCTTGGTGCGCAGGCCGGATGAGGGCTGGGCATGGATCTCCGTCAGGAGGCGAGCACGGGAGGCATACTCCTCATAGTTCTCCAACAGGAGGCGCCCTGCTTCCTCGTTCAGGGCTGATTCCGGATTGGGGTGGATGAGCAAACATTTGATGGTCTGGAGCAGAAAAAAGGACATGTGCATAGTGAAAAATCAGTGGAGGGGTAGCAAGCTCACAGAGGACGTTCTACAACATCTCTGGACTCTGCCACCAGCCAGGAGAACAGGGACCGCTAATATTAGGCTAAGGATGTGACCAGCTGGGGCTCAGCCATTTGGTCGCTAAATGGAACTTGCATCCCTTCTTCCCGAGAAACCCTGCTCCCCTGGACTCTTAAAAGTGATGGGAAAGACACACCATCCCCACTGC